CAGAACCAGAAGCATCGACATCACTATCTGATAATGATGATGGGGGATGATTCTCTCTCTGTCTCTATCTATATTTCATCTTCTCCATTCGTGTGTGTGTGTGTATGCGCTCTGCCCAATTCCACTAAATTAATCACATGATGTTGCATGTAACAGTGGCTCGGCCGATGACTTGCACATCATCATCAAACACACCGACGGGGTTGAAATGCACTAAACAAGCTCGAAGCCAGACAGACAGACACAAGAAACGAGATCGATTGATACAGCCTTCCTAATTAAGCCATACATCGTCCGAAAATTCAATATAGAGTGAGTGGCTCTTACTGCTTGTGAATGTGTGCATATGTATCTGTGTATCTATATATGTTCAAGTGAATTATGACATTCAATAAACATCCATGCAACATTGTAATACTTGAATGATTCAATAAACATTGCGCTAGAATAATTATTCTTCTGCTAACAATTTATTTACAACCTTCATGAAATCCGTCAGGTTTACTATTAATATGTACATTAATTCAATTGTAACTGCTGTTATTCTATCATTTATATATATATTTTAATTTTAACATTATGAACTTATTTCTTTATTATTATTACTATTTTGTCCTTATTTGAACTTCCTTTTTACAAATTGTTGTTATAAATTCTCACTAGATGGCGACACAATTTAAAAAATATGTATTTTGAACGGCCCATATTTTTTTCTATTTTTTTAAAATGTTTCAAAATTAATATTTAAATTAGATTTAAGAATTGTTTTATTATAAAATCTGTTTATTTTTTCCAATATATGACAAAGTGACTAATTATTAAAATAAATTATGTAATTTGTTGTACCTCTTAATAAAAAAAGGTAAATAATAAAGAAAATTTTCTTTAAAAATAATTATAAAAAAATGGACAATTAAGGTTTTTTTTATTTATGAAATACGTATACCAATATCAATAAATTAGTTAAATAGTAATAATGATTTTCAATTATGGTAAAAATCAATGAAAAATAAAATATTTCAGTCGATTAGTTAAAGAAATTAAACCCCATTCGTATATAATTAGAATGTATAAGAACGAGAAAAAATGATTTTTTTTAGAGAAATAAGAAAAATAATGTTTTAATATCATTATTTATTTATTATAAAATGCAATTTCGTTGAAAATTAATTTATTGAATATATACGTAAACATGCTTTATAAATAAATTTTGACATTAAAGAAATATTGGTTTTATATAATTGAATATTTATAGACAAGTATTTAGTATATAGTCAATGTACTGTGATTATATTTATGTTACGGTAAAAGAACAAAATTCTATTGTATGTACAAATATTCCCGAGATAAAGCGTAAATGTAAGTTAAACTCACATTTATCAATCAATCTGCTAAATATGTACATAACATTAATAGATATGAATTATAGATTATGACGAAAATTGAATTACTGTTACGTAAACAAGTTAAAAACGTAATATTTGATCACAGCTTGAGGCTTTATTCATCATAATATATTGAATTAATAAACCTTCGATTATCCTTGGATGTAATAAAATTTAGTAGCGATGCGACCCCTATTAGGCACTTGATTTTCGGATGCTTGTCGCAAGACACCCCGCGCTCCCTTTCGCCCTTTTTGGTAGTGGATAAGATCGTGAGGGTGAGCTTCTGTAATTTATTCCCTGCGCCAGTTAAATCTCATCCCTTCATCCCTTAATGTGCTCTTGGGGCGAAGGGCAAAAACCAACAGCGCTTTGTGTACAATGCCTCTCGCTGTGCTATATACTCTCTCCACTATATCTATATATATACATGAGACGCATTTTCCTTTCACAGCTTTCATTCAGTTAACATCTCATCCACTCTAATGGAATATATACCACAAAAATCACCACATAATATCCATTTCGGTCACATAATAATGAGAACCCATGAATTTTGTCACTGTTTTAATCAAGATGAATAAAAAAATGTAATAAATATTTCATAAAAATACAAACCAAATGCATTTTTTTTGACAATATATATGAATTAATTAACAAAAAGATCAATATTTTTGAAGTGTAAAGTTTTTAAACTAAAATTTTTAAAATCCAATTAATTTATATGAATATTAAAGTAGAAGAAAAAGAAAGAAGTTTAAATATACAATTAAATAAATTATTGAAAAATGTTTCTTAAAAATAAAGTGTTTTTGAGTAATTATATAATTGTTTAATTACAATTAATCGAACTAATCATGCAAAAAATATGAAATGTAAAAGTTTTTAGAATTATTATATATTTTTATTTTTTTCACAAAAAAATAATACATGAAAATATCATTAAGAAATATTCCATTAAAAAAAGTAAATCTAAAAGTCACAAAAATTATATTTTCAAATTGAAATTTGTAAAATCCTATTAAATTTAACACAATATTAGTTTTAATAGAAAAAAAGTTAAAAGTTAAATTAACAAGTAAATAAATCAAAATATTATAAAATTATGAATCAATGATTGTTGAAAATATTTTTTTTCTTTGATTATTAATTTGTAACAACAAAATTGAAGATTGAAGTTTTAGAACATTAAAATATGAAAAAATATGAAATAAATCTTGAATAAAATAATAATGAAAACAGTAAATAAATCAACGTTTTAGACAATATTAATTGAAATACAACAGTTTTGGAATCATTGAATATATTTTTAATTATTTTTCAGTAAACAATAAAACATAAAAATGAAACGTAGAAATATGTCACTAAGATATGTCAATTTGAAAATATAAAAAAATCTCAATGTGACAAAAATTGTAGAATTTTAATTAATTTTTTATTTTGATGTTTAATATAGAATATTACTGTCATAAAATAATATAAATAAATAAAATAATATAAATGTTTCTTTTAGAAAATTTTCAGGATAATTTGTAAATTAAATATAATAATAAATTATCGTCAATCTAGATATTTTGTATAGAAAAAAATTTAGTTATAAAAGACTTTGTGTCTAATAGATTCATTTATTCGTGACTTGTTTCTTTATTCAGTTTAACAAGGAAATCGCTTTTAATGTTCTCTTATATACAGACGTGACATACCATTGATAACATCGCTCGTTATTGTTGGAATAACGTCAATAAAACACATTATAAAGCAACAAAAATGTAATGTTACAGCTATAAAACAAATACTTGAACATAGCACAATTAAAAAAAAACTTTGTAAAAATAGAATGTAAATTTTTATAAATCACTTTCATCGTCATATACAAAAAAAATGGAAAGTTAAAGAACTTTTGACTTCATAATTTAACAAAAAAATATTACAGTGAATTATTTGATTTTTTTAAGTGATTGATAAAAATTATGTGAAAATTATGAAAATTTCTATATTTTCTTGGTTTAAACTAAAAAATGATTTTGTATTTCAAAATGTATGATATAAAATATTTACATGATTAATAATTAAAAGCAATATAATACATACCATTAGTTGCTTATATAAGAAGGCGTGTGTGTTGAGACTTTATTCATTTATAATAATTAATTGCGTGAAGATCAAATTTTGCAGAAATAATTCGGTTATAGTGATCAGGATATATGGGGTATTAATATGGTTAGCCGGTTGATAGATTTAAAGCTAACGCTAATGATATCTTTAGCAAAAGATTTGATGCGGGATTCGTCGGTCTCCGGGGATGCAATTCAAATAGGGTTTTTGGCGGAGGGGTGGTTTTGGAATTGATGATATCGTGTAACGCTTAATGAAATTATCCAGCCAGTGTTTAGATTGGGACATAATTCCACTAACAATGTGACACTGCCTGCAATTCGTTTCCATTAAGCCTCGTTATATTGAGTGGAACCGCAGGGAGTCCTCTGATTAAACCTCAACTCTCTCACTTACTCTCTCCAACAAAATCTCACCCTCTCACTGCGGTTTCCAAACCACGAAAAGCCACCCTACCCCGCAGAAACACCCTTCATTCATTATTCACCAGAAATATCACCGCATTCTGTCCTCGCTCTCCTCAGTTACATAAATAAAGCTTCAACGCCGCAGCAACCCTCTAAACTTAGATAAAAAAACAACAACAACAAAAATACAGATTTTTAATAAATTTGTAGATTTCAATAAGCTAAATAAGAAATTTGTAGGATAATTTGAAAAAAGAAGTGTAAATTTTAATTAAAAATTATTTATTTTTTTCTGGGATCTAAAAAAAGAATGTAAGGATAAGTAATAAAAATAATGGATTTGTAGATTTGAAAATTATATATTTACTTGTTTCAACGTGTTTCACAAAAGCTCGTTAAAATAATTTATACAGATAGGTACAATTTACAAAGGGTCTTTGGCAAGAAGAGAAACATGACATAAAAATTAAAAAATAATAATAATTATATATAATAAAAAAAAAAACATTACACAATATATAATCCTCTCTCCAAATACACACGATTAATAATAATAATAGATATTCGTAATAGAAATAGAGGTGGTGTTTTTTTTTGGAAATTATTTTTATTTTTTGGGGGGCGGGGTGTTCGTAATTATTAATCTAATTTTTTTTTTCGAAAGGGCGAATTAAAAATATATATATTTATTTATATAGACAATATTAATTAGTTATTTAAAAACGTAAAGAGATATTTAATAAGTAGTAATAATTAAAAACGAATAATAGTTGATATGTTACAAAACACGTTTCTCAACGGCCAATCACCGTAATTACATTACATTTAGAGTTTTTCTGTTTAATTAATTTAAATCACGGATCGTCCGGTACTTGTTCTTATCTTTTTTTTGTCATCATTTTGTTAATTTTTTGTTTATGGTTTTCATATATATATTTAAATATTTATAATATTTACAAAAAAAAAAAAATTGAAGCGAAATTATTTGTTTGGGAAAAAAAAATTAATTAAATATTTAATTTTTTATATATAAAATATTTAATAATGTAATAATAATAATAACTTTAGGAGGAGAAAAATTACTAAAGCTGTCCGTAGTATGTACAGGCGAATATAATACAAAAATAATAAGGGATGTTTTAAATTCCTTGCGTTTCTTTTTTTTTGTTTTTCTTCTTCTTTGTATTGATGTGCGATTTTACTGCTTAGTATGCAGTGTGAATGCAGCATCGTTTGGGGCCTTAGGCCGCTAGCGATAGCTAGGATAGAGCAGCGTAGGGCCCCACCGGTTTCAAACGAGACCTGGTGGTTTCGATTCCATCCCGGAAACTAAATCCAGGCTACCCATGGGTGCGACCGGCGGAGGGGTGTGGTTCATCGAGCCGGGGGAATTGACGTTTGTCATGTCGCTCTGGGAGTTCTCCTCGGAATCGCTGCAGGATTCTGAGCTGCCCTTCTTACCGTTACCGTTGTGCGTCTTCACGTGCTTCGCTAGGTGATCTGAGCGCATGAAACGCTTGTTGCAGATGGGACAGGCGAAGCGTTTTTCACCGGTGTGCGTTCGGAGATGACGCTGCAGCTCATCGGACCTGGTGAACCTCTTTCCGCAGAACAACCAGTTGCAGACGAACGGTCTCTCTCCGGTGTGCCATCTGAGATGGGCCTTCAGATGCGACGTCTTTCCGTACACCTTGCCGCACCCGGGGATGTGACAGCTGTGAATGTTCTTCTTCCTCAGGTGGACGCCTGCGGGACCTAAACGTTCGGCCTCCTGGCAATTAGGGCAATCGCACGTTGCTCTTCCAGTGTAGCGGCGCTGCGATCTCGGTGATGGCACCTGCGGTGGGAGACTGCTGCTGCCGGAGGTCGGTGACGGTGCTGAAGATGTTGCGTGTAAACCGAAGGAGGATTGGGCTCCGGGTAGCATAGATTTGTAGGTGTCCTGGAGCAGGTGCTGTCCGGATGAGAGGAGATGATTGGAGGCGGCCAGAGAGTGCGTGAGCGTTGAGTAGTCTGAGGTGTAGTTGGCCGCGGCCATCTGAGCGTGCATTCCCGCCGCTCCGCTCATGTCGAGCCAGCTTCCCGCCGTCGCCGAATGAACGTCCCACCAGGCGTTTGCGGATGTCACAGAGTCGCTCTTGATGGCGCCGTGATGGGTGGCTGTAGACATCGTGTTGAATGGCCAGGATTCGTACGGATGTCTCGAGTATACTGTTCCCAGAGCGGCGTGGTGAGCTGTCGCAGCGCCTTCCACCTTACCCAGCAAGGAAGACTGGTGGTGGTGCACGTGGCTGTTGTCCGCTACGGCCGGTTGGGTCGTGGCCCCCGGGAAGTATAGGTCGCTTCCGTATGATGCTGTGGTTGGAACGCTTGAGCAGCTCGTCATCACCGGTCTGCTGGAGTAGGTGGAGTTCGCTGCAGAAGAGCGTTGTGTTAGTGAGCTACTGGATGTCGAAACACCAGTCGACCCTGGGGATGGTGCACCCTGTGGACTCTTCTTCCATGGGTGGAAACCTTTACCCACAGCTGCATCGGCAAGAGGTGGTGGACTCTTACTCGATAATTTGTTGCATTGAGCCGCCAACATCGCTAGAGGCGTTCCACGGAGACTCGGGTGTTCCTGAAACAAAACGAAAAACAAAATAAGCTTAACCACATCAAAAACTAGATTGTCTAAGTCAGACTTTCCCAAATGTAAAAACTTGGAATGTAATAAATAATGAATGTTCCGTGAAGATAACAGCAAGATTACAAGGAATTAGTATAAGCACATCAAAAAGTTAATAGTTTAATGTAATAATAAAGTCCTTGTTTAAATATCAGTCTGGATAAGATCTAAGTCTCTTATGAAGTTTTAATCAACACATTTTTGTGATGTTGATCCAAAATAATAAAAAGATATGATTATACCTATATACAAAACGATTTATAATCATAAAATGCATCAAATTAAACATTGCATAAAATTAATACAACTAAAAAATTATTAATTTAGTTGTTATAATTGAATCTGTCGAATTGTATTAGATGTGAATCTAATTATGGTTTTATGTTAGATAATCTTCTTGTTATTAAGCGTAATCAAAAAACATATTTTCTATAATTAAAAATGTAAGAGTAAATTAATTTACTTTGAATGTTAAACGCATTCGATTTAATCTTCGGTTAATGCCAATAAAGGATTCCTCGATTATTACTTAATTACTGTTAGGATACCGACGGACAACTTGTTCTTTTTTATGTTGTTCTTCTACTTCTTCTTCCCTACGATTATTAAGCAGAAATTCGGGACGAGTCGGGAGAAATTCAGTTACGTTGTCGGCCTCTAATGGACCGATCCTTTTGTAATGTTGGCAACTTAATTTGACATTTTTGTTTCTCTTAGCAAGGATGAGTTTCAAGTTTTTGAGCTCTGTCTCTCCCTCTTTCTCTCCTTCTGTCTCTCAGCTTTTGTTAACGATCGGGCAATTAATTTGGAAGCGGTTCTTGTTGTTTTTGCCTCTTCCTCCACCGGTGGATCTACTTTGTATGTATATTGATTCGGGTCCTCGTGCATATGTGAAGATTTATTTTTTTTATATATATATATGTATTTTTGAGTTATGGGTCGAGCGGGTTCTCACCGTTAGTAGGGAAGTAATTAAGGGTGACCTTGGCGAGTTGGAAAGTTCGGTAGCATCGGTCCATTATCCGCTTTTATACCACGGATGGCCCGGAGGAAGAGATGGTTGAGATGGAAGATTGGTGATATAGAGGTGGAATGGGCGAGAAGTGAACGTGTGACAGAGATGATGGGAGCGAGATATGGAGGAATGAGTGAGAGAGAGAGTTGGTCTTTTTTTCCGTTTGAGTGATGGGCGCTCACCGGTAGCGGCGGCGACGCCCTACGGCCCTTTTGTGGCCCGACAATTGGAGGCGGCTGCTGCTGCTGCCGGAGATATCGACCGCCTCCAAAGACGCTGCAGCACGAGGGGTGGGCGTTAATGGATCAAAGTCTCGGAGATACGAATCGCCGAAAGAGTGTAGAAATGTAACGAAATAAGGAAAACGAGGCTATTAAATTATGACTTCTACTTCAACCCATTATATAAAATTACCATTTTTTTATATAATCTCATTTGGAACATTTCCTAAATTTATTAAAATAATATATCAGAGCAATTTATTTTGTAAATAAACGAACAGTAAAATTCAAAGGTTTCTTTATGTTTTTGACAGTTGGACAAGTATTGAAAAGAAGTTTGTATTTTATTCGATTATTTGCATTTTGTTACATTACATTTTGTATGTAATAATTTAATAAACAGATTGATTGAAGTCAAATCTTGAGAAAGTATAGGAAAGACAATATTTTGACATATTACGTATTCAAGTTTATGTCAAACAAATTTGACAAGTAAAATGTCAATTAACCAACAAAATGATTGAATCAAAAACTTGGAAGTTGTAAAGAATCAAAATTGTAATGAATTAAGGAAAGCGTTGAGGAAGAATCGTGAACTTTTCCCTAGTTACAGGACCATTAGACTTGGTTTTCAATAAGAGCGAGAGCGTTATTATGATTCTTATTATTTTTAATTCTTTCGGAGCGGCTGTGCGTGTCTGGATGGCGACCGACAGGCGCCACTTTTCATTATCCTCTTGATTAAAGCCGGCACTTTCCGAACTCCATATACACTGGACTCCGAGGTTCTGGCCCAAAAGGATAATTAAGCTAACCAACCCCGAGAACTCTTAATTTGGTGGACCTTGGCATCTCCGATTGCTCGGACGCGCGCGGATCCAGTGTCCATCTCCCATGCGACATATAAATCCAGAAGGGTAAGATTCTCATTTCATCTCATCCAATCTCATCCCAGGATAGGTTTCATCTTTGTCCGTGCGTGATGACCTCCGGGTCCAGATTTGATTAAAACTCTTAATAGGAGCTACCGTCTTAGTCGAGCTTAATTATTTCCATTCCGAGAACGCCCAGGTAAAAATATGATTTATACCCTCAATAATAATCCTTTCGTTTTCTTCAACATCAACCCCTCATCCGCTTTTTTTCTAGATGTTGTTATTGTTACTGAGCCCTTTTGCCTTTCGGATGACCCTCGTGCGAAGACGGTAGGGCTAATTACTACAAATCAATAATTTACTTCTGTGGCTACCGGGTATTATTTTTTTCTTCTTCTGTTCTTCCTCCGTGGCCGACCTATAAATTTTCGGAGCTCCGAGTCCTTAACGAGTTCTTCGGAGAAGAGAGATGAGGATGGCGTAGGTGCATACACGAATTTATATGCATGAGATATGCCGGAGGGCGACAGTTAGTTTTTCGAATGGTCGAGGAGGCCCCAAACTCGATCGAAAATAATTGAAAATCTAAAACACATTTCTCTCTCTCTCTTTCTTTCTCTCATACATAAACAGAACGTTTATTTTGCTCTCGTTTTTCTCTCTTTTATCCCGCAAAAGTCGGTCACAGTTTAATGAGATTTATGAAAGTCGATTTTCGTTATTTCATATAACTTCGCTTCTCTTATTTATTTATTTTTTGTAATATTTTCTTTTTTTTGGTTGTTGTCGTACTTGATTTTTGTTTCTTTTCTTCTTCCAGTTTCGTTTTGTTCTTTTTCGTTTTTATGATTATTAAACGTGCGTGACACTCTTGGTCTCCAGGTATCCGAAGTAATGTATTCATGTACATGGCTTGTACCTGCGAGGTGCGCCAAGAACGGACTTGATTGACATTTGCACAGTCTGCCGCCGCCGCCGCCCCCCGGGCCACTCTTAGCGCCCACGTTTCTTCCACCGCTTCTCCTTTTCCTTCCCTACCGACGGCAATTATCGCCCCGACACATTCACTTCGACCGACAAAAACCGACAGTTTCAATAACCAAGGAAAAGCGTTTTTTCACCCAAAAAACTTTTTAACACCTAATGCTGCGTACACATTACTTTCGATGTCAACTAATTGCATTAAAGATGTTACCAACATTCAAATTTATTTTATTTATCCTCTTTAATGAAAATTTATATGTTGTCTTTACAATCAGATCATTGACAAAATAAAGACTTTTTTAGTGCTCGCATTAAAGTTGACACCAACATAATAATTTATTTTTACATTAATTTCTCCGACAAAAACCGACAATATTACTTCCCAAAGAAAAACGTGTCAATATTCTTTTCGAAATGTAAAAGTATCGGAAAAGATTATATTTTTGATCCTAGTTTGCGCAAATTATTGTTATCTATCTCAAATGTATCGCTCCGACTACACCAATTGGATGACAAGAGCTGTTTCAATCCTCAAATCTTCATCAACAATTCCCAATCGCTTTATAATTCTACCGACAAAAACCGACATTTTTAATATTACTTCGCAAAAAAATATTGTCAAAAACCGACATTCTCTTAATAATTATTTTACCGACAAAAATCGACATTGTCAAAACATATATTGTGACAATAAACAAATATCAATAATTATTCCACCGACAAAAACCGACATTTTTAATATTACTTCAAAAAAATATTGTTAAAACAACGACAAAAACCGACATTGTCTTAATATTTATTTTACCGACAAAAATCGACATTGTCAAAACATATATTGTGCCAATAAATAAATATCAATAATTATTCCACCGACAAAAACAAACATTGTCAATACAAATAATATGCCAATAAAAGATATTAATAATTATTTCACGGATAAAAACCGACATAATAAATTAAAAACATATCAATAAATATTCCACCGACAAAAACGATGTTATCAATACGTTCCTAAAAATTGTCCAAATCACCCAAAAATCGTTATTATCATACCATATATTACAACAAATAAGTAAACTGACTCAGATTGCGCGCACATCCCTCGTAATTGCATTAAAAGTGTTTTCAACCTTTTGAATGTAATCATTTTCTTGTTATTATTATTTTTCATCCTCGTTGGTGCAAATTAATGTTTTAAGCTGTAAATGTATTAAAACGCCATTAATGGCGATCTGAATAATAGCAAATAATGACTCTATTGTGTGTTGTGGTGAATTCGCTGGGTGGGAAAGAGCGAGCGAGGATTCGCAAAATGGTTCGACCATAACACCGACATGCTCTTTAAGCAAATTTGCACAAACATGTATAATTCATGAACGCCGAAAAGCGCTGCACTATTTCATGCGAAATAACGATCGTGAAATACCGAATACTGCTGCTTCGTATATATTTTTTTAATTTTATTTTGGTAACGTTCCAGTTTCTCCCAATGATGGATTTAATTATATCATTATAATAATGCAAATACAAAAAAAAGGTCACGAAATTTGAATATTTTCAATAAGCCTCCAGTCAAATCTTCATCACGTAAATTTATACCATAAATCCAAATGTCATTTTTAAGTTTTATAATTGTTATATGTTATAATAAATATAAAAAGACAAATTATATTTTGAACATTGTTATGCAATAATCACAAAAAAAATAATTTAAGAAAATTGTTTAATTTTAAGAAATTTATCAAAACTGTGAAAAAGTTAAATTTCAACAAAACCAAATATTTTATGTCTTAACAACTGAGTTTATATTCGTAACAAAAAATAAATTTTACAAAGATTTTTTTCTTATTTTCTGCA